TTAACTCTGTTTTCTCCTTCACAGATGCTGCCAGACCTGCTGAGCTTTTCCAGCAACTTTGTTTTTGTTCCTGATTTACAGCATCCGCAGTTCTTCTGGTTTTTGTTTAGGAGAGTGGAGTTGCCTGAATCCTTGTTAGGCTTCTAGATGGGGAAATAGATGAGGGTTATGTTCAGTGTGGAATATGTTGAGATATCTTATGCACAGTAGCTATGGGTGAAATTGAAGCGGGTGTTGGGTGGTGTGGTAGGGGGAATAAAAGACAGATAAGCCCAACTTGCTGTTGGTTTTGATCTACCAGGAGTGCTGTCGACCCTAGCTTTTTTGGTGCTGATCTTCCACGGACAAATCTGAGCTCTAAACTCTCAGCACTTGTTCCTGTTTATAATTCTACTCGTTGTTTAGAATGTGTTGTGAGGACTGGCAAGTGGATATTTATTGCGAGGCTGGAGGTTCAATGATCTGTTACAGGGCCCCATGCCAACATTCAACAGAAACAGAAGAACAAACAGTGACTGGGACCTTTAATAACAGGCAATAAAGTCTGGCATCATTAGAGGAACATAAAAACTGATGGCCAGATCTGGGTTTCTTTATGAAGCTTAACTGGGAGTGAAAATACTGAACCTTGTTTGACCTGCATTTAAATAGTGAAATCCACGTGAATCCTAACAGTACGGCAGAGATATTAACATGGTCAGGGTGAGGAGATCAACTTAAAGAGCTCACAGGGGCTACTGTAGCAATGCGGCTATGATACTAGACTAAATAATTCAGAACCTAGACAAATGCTCATGAGTATATAAGCTCAAATCTCAGCCTCTCACATTTAGATTGAATTGATTAAGTAAATGTGGAACTTAACAAAAATCAAAGCTAGAGACACCGCAATCTTTGTTGTAAAAACCCATCTGCTTCACCAATGTCCTTCAGGGAAGGAAATCTACTGTCCTTAACTGGTCTGGACTATGAGACTCCAGACCCACAGCAAAGTGGTTGTCTCTTAGCTGCCCTCTGAAAAGGCTGAGCCAGCCATTTGTTTGTAGTTAAGAAGATTGTTCAGCGTCACCTTCGAAAGGGGAATTGACAGCAACATCCATATCTCATGCACAAGTGATATATTTTTACAAAATTACTAAAATACTAATCCCTCAATAAACATCGCAAAACCAGACTCTCTGGTCATTATTATGTTGCGGTTAATGGGATCTTGCTGTGCACAAATGGCCTGGCAATTGTTTTACGTTCCAGCAATGACTACACTCAGCTGTAAAGTGTTGAGTGAGTTTTCACATGCAATTCATCTGCAAAGTGCTCAGGGCGATGTCTTTGCTGCTCAACTGTGTTCATCGGAGGAGATGTCCTTACCTCCCAAACACCATTGACCACAACAACAACCTGCTGACTCGGGCATGGCCACAGAGAATAGACAGAAGTGTGTTTGGAATGTGAAAAGGAGGGAGGGAGAGATGAGGGGAGTGTGTTTGGAATGCGAAAGAAAGAGAGAGAGGGAGAGATAAGGAAAATGTGTTTAGAATGTGAAACGGAGGGAGGGAGAGATGAGGGGAGTGGATTTAGAATGTGAAAGAGAAAGAGGTAGAGATGAGGGGAGGGTGTTTGGAATGTGAAAGAGAGGTGTTGCAATGGTGCCTAAGATTGAGGTAATTGAATGTTTGAGAGTGCTGAGGAATGGCCAATATGGATAGTGTAAGCTGATTTTGAGGGGGTGTAGGTGGGTATGGAATAACAGCTCACTCATTGCTACCGCCCAGGTTCTGGGAGAGATGCCAGGGGCACTGACTGTTTTCATCACCTCTGTTCACCCCAGTTTTGTCCTGCCCTTGGAGATACCATTGTGGCTTCTCAGGAACACTTGGTCTCCCTCCCCCTTAAATCCTTGATGAAAATCACAGGAATGTCACAGGGAGGTCTTTCTGTGCTACATGGCTGCCTGAAAGTCTTACCTCGGAAAAGTCCCCTCTCCTACAACTCGACCTCTCTTACCTTGTTCTCCAGTCCCTCAGTTCTTCCTCTTCGTACCTCAGTGTCCCTGAACATGCAAAAATATAAAACTGAGGCTCAGATGTCCTCTAGATGAAACCATACTAATCTGCAACCATCACAGGCAGCCCAGACAAATGGAGCTCCCTGCTGTGGACAGCACACTGTGTTATGTCTGGTTGCCAGATAGCCTCTCAATCTCGAAATACACTTAGAAAATATGAGTCATAGCCTTAATTTAAATTGCACAATGTGCACTTTGAAATTTATCAGGAGAAATTGCAAAGTTGGAATCTAATTTTGGAATTCAGATGATGTTATAAACTGCTTGAGCTTTTTTCTTGTTGTTTTGATACACTTTGTATTCTGAGATTAGATTAAAGCTTTGTACTTCACTTTCTAATGTCAATTATTCCATCTTTAATTCTATTTGTGGCCAAGCCAACTGCTCACATATGGTGTCTGCTGTAGAACTTGGATTTCAGATGCAACCTACTCATTACTGACATTACATATTACTGAGAAATTGGTCAAGTTGCAGGCAACAGAAAGTAGGGATAATGGGTAGGGACTCAAATTGGCAGTATGTGACCTGTGGTGTTCAACAAAAATCTGTGTTAGAGTCTCACTTATTCACATTATTTATTAACCATTTGGATATCAGCATAGATAGTTATTGATCCAAATTTGTTGTGGATGCAAAGTTAGCCTGCTTTGCAGACAGTGGAGATGAAAGCACAAAGCAAAATTGATAGACTCAGTGGAAGGGCAAAACTGCAGCAGGTGGAGTTCAATGTAAACAAGTGTGAGATTGTCCATTTTGGACCTGGAAAAGGATAGTTGAGCGTACTTTTGAGATAGTGCGAAGTTAAAAACAGTAGATGTCCAAAGAAACTTGGGGGTTCAACTGCATAGAACGTTAAAATGCCACGAACAGGTGTAGGAAATAATCAAGAAAGCTAATGGAAAGCCGGCCTTTATATCCAGAGGATTGGAGCACAAGGTTGTAGAAATTATGCTGCAGCTATACAAATCCTGGTCAGACTCCACTTTGGGTAGTGTGAGCAGATTTGGGCACCACACTTTAGGAAGGAGATATTGGCTTTGGAGACAGTACAATGTAGGCTTGCAAGAATGACACTTGGATTGTTCAGGGGTTCGGTTCTGTGAAAAGATTATATAAATCAGGACTATTTTCGCTAGAACTTAAAAGGTTAAGGGGATGATTTAATCAAAGTCTCACCACAATTCAAAATCCTTTGAGAATTGTTATAATTCCAGTTAAACATTGACATTCGATTCAATTCTCCACCGTGTCCACTATCTGAAAGGCAGAAATAAGCTTAGCTGTTGCAGAAATCAATTAATGATTCAAGGTCTTAAGAGATCTTTAGAGATGTTGCAAAGATTGCAAAAAGACAAGCTAAAGACTCTGTACCTGAATGTACATAACATTCAGAGGCTAAGTATGTGAATTGATGGCACATATTAATATAAATAAGTATGATCTGATAGTCATCATGGAAACATGTCTGCAAGATAACAAGGATTAGGTTCTGAATATTGTGGGGTATATGATATTCAAGAATAAGAACCTTGGTAAAGGAGGAGGGGTAGCACTGTTAATTAATGATTGTCTTTGTGTCAGCGATGACCCTGGTTCAGGAGATCAGAATATAAAATCAATTTAAGTGTAGATGACAAATAGCAGGCATAGGTATCCTATAGTGGGAGTGATTTATAGACCCCTGAATAATAACCACAATGCAGGACAGGTATACAAGGTGGGAAAGAGTACAAGATGGAATATTGGATGCTTGTGACAAAAGGGACATGAATAATCATAAGCGAGTCTACAAATAAACTGGAAAAAATCAGATTGCCAGTAATAGCCTGGATGAGGAGACCATGGAGTGCCTTCAAGATAGTGCCTTAGAGCAGCACATTTTGGAAAAGAACAGAGAGTTTGGGAAAGTGAGGGGTGACTTGAATGAAGTGTATAAGATCCTGAAAAGTCTTGACAAGTTGGATGTGGAAAGGATGTTTCCTGTGGTGGGTGAGCACTGTTTTAAAATGAGAAGTCACTTTTTTTAGGACAGATATGATTTTTTCTCTCAGAATGTTGTATGAGTTTGGGACTCTGCCTAAGAAGATGGTGGGAAGGTGGGTCATTGAATATTTTTAAAGAGGAGTTGGAGTGATTCTTGTTAGGCCAGTGAATCTGGGGTGGGGATGGGAATGTGGAACTCACAACACAAACAGATCAGTCATGATCTTATTGGATAGTGGAACAGGCTTGAGGGGCCAAAGGGACTACATCTGCTCCTGTTTGAAAAGTCCATATGTCTTCGTGGAAACAGGTAGGCCAAGTGCATGGGACAGGGAAATGATGGAGAGGAAGGAAAGGTCACAGACGAGCACAGTTAATTTCCTAGTGCGGGAATAACTCCTCTCCTGTTTGGCTGGGGGCTATTGGAGGTCTCCAGTGAAAACAAACCCCATCCAAAGGTGTTTATTTCTTTCTGAATCATTTGGAGAGCTGTAAGACAGCACCTTATATCCTCATTATCCTTGTGCTCTTTTCAAAAATGATTCAATTTCATCTTATGAGCCTTAAAAGGTAGAAAACTGCAAGATATTAAATTTCTCATGACACTACGTTACAGGTAGATCCCTGTGCTCAGAGTCCAGAATTCAATCTATTGGTGTAATTTCTCTGTTCAAATGAGAAGAGATTTTTGTGACTTTATCTTCGCTGTTTGCCCTGGTGTCGGCAGCAACAACGTTAGCACGTGTCAGAGCTGAGGGCAATAATTCACACCCATCTGTGAAATGACAGTCAACAGCAGGCTATGTTTGAAGGTTCATTTAAAAGATGTGCTTAAGGTTCTGCTGGGAATTGGATGCTGGTATAGAATCAGCAGAAGGCGTGTGGAATTACTTTGCTTCTTACTGTGATGCAGAACGCCATCTCATTTAGTGGAAATACCTCATTGGCGTCTCATTCACGTGCACAATAGGAATGCATCCCAGAAACAGAACATACTTTAGGAATTGAGGGGCTGTCCTTTGCAGGCCCACTCATCATTCATTGATATCATGTCTACAGTTCTCTGCAAAGGAATGAGACAGCAACCAGCAGAAATGCCAACCCCAGTATCTGAGGATGATTTAAGGCTTGGTTTGTTGACTGTCCCAGTCGTGGGACCTCAGCTATTTCAGTATTGAGGCGATTGTCATCACCAGCCAACTCCCTCAATACCCCACACACAAGCCGGTTCGCAAAACATACTGTGACAAACCTCCGAGACTTGGATCTACTGGCCAAAGCCATAGAAACTATACAGTGTGGAAACAGGCCATTCAGCCCATCGAGTTCTCACCAACCTGCTGAACAGCATCCCATCCATCCCCATCCCCATAACCCCACATTTCCCCTGGCTAATCCACCTAACCTGTACATCTTTGGACTGTGGGAAGGAACTGGAGCACCCAGGGGAGCCCCACGCAGACATGGGGAGAATGTGCAAACCCCACACAGATAGTTATCTAAGGGTGGAATTGAACCTGGAGGCCTGTCACTGTGAGACGGCAGTGTTAACCTCTGAGCCGCCTATTGTTTCCTCTCATATTTTCAAATCAACTTGTTTAGAGATGTTATTACATACCACTGGAGCAGGTAGGACCTGAACCCAGGCCTCCTGCCTGAGAGGTAGGGGCATTACCACTGCACCTTAAAGTGCTGTCATATGTTCCCTACAGTTTTTTTGGATTGGTTGAACCATATTTATGTGGGTGGAAAAACTGGAACAGGATTTGAACTGACTGATTTCTGATGACAACAGATTTCAGGTGGTTCATTCATTCATTTATTACATTATACACCCAATGTTACAGCCACAGTCACAGACAGCCTACAGTGCTCTCTCGAATTAGAGAGAGGCAAGTGGTGATGATTTTAACCCAAGGGTCACCACAACCCAGGTGAGGGGAGGGGAGAGGTTGAGAAGGCAGGACTTTCATAGGAGCCTCACCTAGAGCAGGAATTGAACCCACCCTGTTGGCGTTGCACTGCATTATAAACCTGCCTTCCAGGCAAAATGAGCTAACCAACCCCACAAAGCAGTTTCCATTTTCCTTTTCTTACATGGCCAGAAGTGCTCTGAGATATAACTGAATGTTTCATTTCCCCATCACCAAATCACCCATGGGATTTTTTTCCATCTGTTAATCACTGCCAGTAAATCACTCGTGTTTTCCAATTGCTTAATTAACATGTGAAACCTGTAAAGGGGAATGGGGACCATTAAAGGTGAGGGAGGGGTAGGGAGCAGGGACAAAGCAGCTTCCTCTTTTTAAGGAATTCCTCTTTATCTCAGTTTTAAACGGGTGTCCTGTTATTCTGTAACTATGTCCCCTAGCACCCCTCACGAATGAAAACATCCATCCTGTCAAGCCTCCTCAGATACTTTCCCAATCGACCCATTCAGAGATGCTCTGATGTACCTCTGGAGCAGTTGGGATTTGAACGTGGAGCTTTCAAGCCTGGGGTTAGGGACACTGTGCCACATGACCCTCTGAGCAGTTTCCTCATTATTCTTTCAAAGCTATAACACCTGCCAGAGTTTGCCCATTTGCAAGTCTTTTATTCATTCATGTGTGCATTGCAAATGTTGTCCGTAAATCTAAGTGCAGGACATCCATTAATTCCCCTGTATTTACGGCATGTGTTACCTCCTCAAAGAAATCCAACAGATTGAGCAAACGTGATTTCTCTTTCACAAAACCATGTTGACTCGGCCTGATTACTTTGGAAATGTCCAAGTAACCTGCTATAACGTCTTTAACAATGGCTTCTAACATCAACTTCAAATATTTTCCCTATGACAGATGCTAAGCTAACTGGCCTCTGATTTCCGGATTTTTGTCACCTTCTCTTTTTCAGGAAAGGAGCTATGTTTGCTACTGTTCAATCTAATGGGACCATCCCTGAATACAAAAGGTTTTGGAAAATTAAAATCAACAAATCAACAGTCTCACTTGTCACTTCATTCAAGCCCCTGGAATGAAGTCCATTGCAATCTGAGGATTTGTTAGCCCACAAATCCAACAACTTACTCAGTACCACTTCCCTGGAGATTGTGATTTTCCTGAGTTCT